TCAGAGATGGGAAGAGACCAACTGTTTTATCTTCCATGGCCACTTACCAGCTTTCAAGATCCCCGCTGCTATTCACCAAAGTACCATTGTCCACCACCGAGCTGACCTTCAGACATGAAAACCACCAGGATCAGCCCAAAGTTGAACCCCAAGGTGGAGGTCAGACATACCTCCACTCTCCAACTTTTGCACCGATTTTGGATGCTAGCGTCCCCAGGACCCACAACGGAGCCCATCAGGGCAGCTTCCACCCAGGAAGAATCCTCAGCTGCCGGCCCTTCCTTCAGTCATGCCAGCCTGCAGCTCTTCTCTAGGTAGCTGCCCGGCTTGAGCAAGAGCTCCAGTAACTGCCTGGAAGCACTCCACTTCCCCAGCAAGCCTCCTGTCCCAAAGGCCCTCCCTCCAACTTGCTCCCTGGGCTGAACCATGGTTTTTGCCACTGTAAAACCGCTGCCTTTTCGGTCACCCATCGTTAGTGTGACAGCTCAGGGGTCCTCCAACTTTTTAAACAGTGGGCCAGTTCACCATCCCTCAGACCCGTTGGAGGGCTGGACTATAGTTTAAAAAAAACCCAAAAAACTACGAACAAATTCCTATGCACACTGCACATATCTTCTTTTGAAGTAAAAAACAAAAATGGGGCAAAAACACCCGGCAGGCTGGATAAATGTCCTCGGCGGGCCGCATGTGGCCCGTGGGCCATAGTTTGAGGACACAGGGATTCAAGGTCGAAGGATGCCCTGTTCTGCTCCTGGATCTTCTTGGTGGTAGTGATATCCCTCAACCTCTGTGGGACTGGCCCTTACATTCAATTTCAGAGTATGGGTCTCCCAGCCAGATCATAAGCTGACCAATCCCCACCAGGTCACTGTACCCTGCTGGGTGGTTGTGTGTGGCCTCTTTGCCCGGTACTGAACCAATACCTTGCAAGATTGTGGCCCCGCTTGTCATTTTGGGAAGCATTGTAAACCCAAGGGCACAAAGTCCCCACGGAAGAGAAACCCACTGCCCGGCGGGCCCAAAGCCCGCATTTCTTCATCACACATTTTAACAATTCTTCACCTTGGCTTAAGGAAGTATACTCACTCAGCGGAGTCAAGAACAGTTTCAAAGAGATGGGAATACACTCCTTCTTTTTCGGAAGGAAACCCAAGCATCCCCTGAAGCCAGCACCCTGCCGACAGTGGATGATGTAAGACCACCGGCAAACCCACCGGCGAGGAGGGGGCGTGGACGAAGGCCAGCCTCTCTCTGCCACCAGGAAATAATCCATTTACGGGGGGAGGGCTGAGCTCCCAACAAGTGCAAACAAGAGACTGGACAACCTGTTTCGTTTTCTAGAAATAAAACCCTCGACGGCACCTTGCCAAAGAAACACAAGTCAATATCAACCTTTACGTCCTGGGCTGCCAAACGCCACTTTAAGACAGTATATTAATTATGTAGTCAATACCCTGGGTTTCATTAGTGTATTAAATACCACGGTCGATATTATTTATACTTTTCAAAGGCAGGCCACTCAGGAGGAGAAGGATAAAAAGCCATCAGCTGGGGAGGGGAAGACCCCTGACCCGGCCATCGACGAGTCACAAGAGCCCGCTCGAGGGGAGCTGGGCTCTAATGGAAAGCATAAAACACTGGAAATACGGGCAGGGATCAGACGTATTTCTTCCCTGTCTCTCTCACAACGAGACTGGAGGGAATTCAAGAACCATTTAAAATAAAGGCAAATGATTAGATTCCCGCCCACTTTAATTGCTGAATGCTGATGTCATGTTGTGCCAGTCAGCAGCGCTGGCCCACGAGTGAAAGACGACAGCATACCAACAGTCTTTCGAGGTAAACGACCTCCAGGCGGGGCCTGAGCTCTGTGCGCCAGAATCTGTTTAGACCATCCCCGGGGACCGCCACCTCTTACCAGCAGAGCAGTGCCGCCAAGTGTGGATGCTCCTCTGCTGGTGATCTGATTTTTAGCAGGGAGATCTGTTAAAAGTCTCTCAGGAGAGAGCCCCCTTTCGCTACAACAATCCTCCCCCAGGATGTGCAATCACAGCCAAGTACACAGGCTGGCTTTGTGGCTGGTCATCAGGAAGGGCAGTGACTGGGTACCACGTTCTCCAGACCCGTCCCAGTAACAGCAGTGGGCAGTGCCCGTTGGGGGACTCAAGGCAATGCCAGGAGTCGCAGATACAGAAGACTGGTAACTGGACCGGAAGACCGATGACCACTTCTAACCCGCAATTTGTCAATCCCGAATCGCATGGATGACTGTAATTTTCTAGTCGGTGCTTTTATAAGCAAGGCCAGGCAGGAGAGTTTTCCATAAAAAAACCCAGGAGGCCGCAGCCAGAGAATTTCCAGTGAGCCGGTGCCCGTCTTCTGAGACCTGAGACATGTAGGGAAAGGCCCCGTGAGAGGGGGCCCTCTTCTGTCTGCTCTCAGGAACGGGAGCCACCACGCCCGAGTGAGCCGGCTCCTCCGAGGTGACAAGGAGGAGGGTGAGCCGGGCAGGACTCCACGCGGCACTTGCACGGGCTCACTGCCCCACTGCCTGGCTACTGGAAGAGCAGTGTGCAGCCACCAGCCTGCAGCTTGCAGCACAACCAGCTAGATAATTAATATGATTAGGAACACACAGAGCAAGCATGCTCTTGCTGACGGAAGAGCCCAGTAGCATAATTACTGTTTTCTTACCAGCTCACTGTCTGTACACATCTCAAAGCCGGGCTGTTGTTAGACTGCTGTGTAAACATCAATAAAATCCCAAAGTGCCGGATCATCAGCATTCTCGGGCACCATGGCGTCTTGTTTCTACTGTTTTCCTTTAGAGATGACTTTCAGCAAGGCAGGCATGAGGACGAGACCCCTCTATGCCTTGGACTAATCTTTGAGTTTGTAACGAGCTAACAGGTCCTCCACGTGACCGTTTATTATGAGGAGTAATTAATTGCTTTCAGTTATAAGAACCCCTTGCATTCAAAGAAAGCAGGATGCACACGCGCAGAATATGTTTATTAAAACCAAGCCAGGGGAACAAAAGGCTGCCTCCCTTCAAGAGCCTTTCTGTGGTTAGAACATAGCTTTAATCAAGAAGCAAAACATACAAATGCTAGACATCCGTACAGGTAGAACGTGTGCAGTTCCAACCCAAAACCAACCTTCACTGAAGTGAAAAAACTGAAGCCATGCTTTGTAGTTGCCTGCATGTCCCCCGGGGACGGCAAGTCAATGCTTATCTGCCTTCCTCAGAAGAGAGAGTTTGATTAATATCAGACCCATCTGACTCAGTCTATTAAACCC